CCACAGGATTTATGTGTTCTTTTAATGGGTCTGGTTTGTGGCTAGTTTCGCCCTCATTGGTTTCCAGCTGAAAGTGCTGGTGGGCAGCTGCTGCAGATGATTAATACTTTCACCTAGCCTCCCATATTCTTTTTTTTTTTTTTTTTTTTTTTTTTTTTTTTGAGACGGAGTCTCGCTCTGTCACCCAGGCTGGAGTGCAGTGGCCGGATCTCAGCTCACTGCAAGCTCCGCCTCCCGGGTTCACGCCATTCTCCTGCCTCAGCCTCCCGAGTAGCTGGGACTACAGGCGTCCGCCACCTCGCCCGGCTAGTTTTTTGTATTTTTTAGTAGAGACGGGGTTTCACCATGTTAACCAGGATGGTCTCGATCTCCTGACCTCGTGATCCGCCCGTCTCGGCCTCCCAAAGTGCTGGGATTACAGGCTTGAGCCACCGCGCCCGGCCTAGCCTCCCATATTCTTATTGTTAACATTAAATTACACTTGCCTTAAATTTTTATTCAGTTTCTTCATTGGTTGTCAGATGTTTGTAACTTTTTTCCCCAAGGTCCACCATGTTTCTTCACAGCAGCCATGGTAATTATTAGGATAGTAGGCATATCTGGGGTTTACGCTGCCTGTTTCCTTGAAAGATTTTTTCAGTTTCATGTCTATAGTTACTTCAGATAGTGTAACATTGCCATACTTAACGTAACTATAATAAAAATAACTGCAATTATGCAGAATAATCATTTGAACATTTCAAAGGAGATATAAAGAGAAATAGACTGGGCATGGTGTCTCACACCTGTAATCCTAGCACTTTGGGAGGCTGAGACAGGTAGATGGCTTGAGCCCAGGAGTTCGACACCAGCCTGGGCAAGGTGGCGAAACTACGGCGAAACTTTATTTTAAAAAATGGCGAAATTTTATTATTTAAAAAAAGAGAGATAAAGGGAAATAGGTCCAAATTCCTATCTACAAAAGCTTACAAAGCCTTGTCTTATTTATTTTTTAGAAGAGTCTGGGCCGATGAATACTTTTTAAAAAGTTGGCTTTTAAAGCATATGCAGATTTGATCCTTGCTTTCCTTACCCGATGGGACCCTTTTTGAGCTTTGGCTATTGTCAAGAAAATATAGCAATTAAATCCCATTATAATAGTTACAGAAATGTAGTACTTACAGTGGTAGGTACTATTCTAAGTGTGTTATTTATGTTAATTGATTTAATTTAAAAATACAGAGATCTTCACTTAGGGTATGACAAAATAAATTTTATTCCACCAAGGGGAGTGGGGTGTGGAGGTGGGGGTTGGCTGGTTCTAACAGGATTTCCCCCATCCTTTGCTGCAGCTGCAACTATTTCTATATAACTCTGGGCTGTAACCCCTCCACCACACCCTCTGCAACCTCCTCACAGTGCTGTGGGAACCCTTCCAGTGTCTCTTTCATCCTGCAGGCAGCAGGATTCTTGGCTTGGACTCACACAGTTCTTTCAGCCAGAATCAGAGGTAATCTGCAGAAGCTATAATATCTCACCAAGGTTAGTAATTGGACAAAACTACGGAACTCTCAGGCTGCGAGGAGCTTTTTGCATTAGACTAGTGGGTGGGTCTGATGCTTTTTGGCTGCTGGGGCGCTCAAGAAAGGATTGAAAGAGAAAGACAAGGAGAGTCCTCAGAAATGGGGTACCACTGCTTCTAAGGTTGTGCACGCTCTCTTAGGAAGTTGTGTAGATTAGACCAGTGCCTGATGTCACCTCTCCTGGGCAGAGAGAGGACAGAAAGCCATTAGAGGACAGAAGGCCATTGGTTTGGGTGTTTATTTTATGTCTGCTGCATCTCATAAAGCCCCTGGACTATGGAAGGAGGGTTTAGGTTGCTCTGGACAGAGTATGGGCTTCTGAGTCAGAGGGAACTTGAGTTTGGCCCCTTTTGCTGCTGCTTACTACCTGTGTAGATGTGGGCAAGTTACCTAATCCCCTACATTCTTCATCTTTTCAATAAAATTCATCAAATTCAATAAATATTAAGTGCCTGCTATATGTGGCTGATAATAGGCTTGAAAAAAACAATTTCTATTCTCAAAGAAACAGAGGGTGACAAACAGTAAACAAAATGAATTAATACATTATGTAGATGGCAATAAGTGCTAAGACTGCAGTTTTAAATGGGGTAGTCAGAGAAGGCATCACTGATTAGGCAACATTTGTACAAACACCTGTAGGACCTAAGGGAGAAGGCTGTTTCACTAGCTGGTGATAAGAACATTCCTTGTAGAGGGACCGTAGTGCAAAGCCTTGAGGCAGGGGTGTACCTGGTGTGCTGGAGGAGGAGCAAGGAGGCTGGTGTGGCCAGAGCAGAATGAGCCAGGGGAGCAGGAGATGATGTAATCAGAGAGGTAAGTGGGGAGCAGATGCTGGAGGACTTTGGAGACCATTGTCCAGATCTGGGTGCTTATTCTGGGTAAAATGAGAAGCCACGGTGGTGGTGAGGGAGAGGGTGTTTGAGTAGAAAAGTGACATGGTCTGACCTGAGGTTTAAAGGATCACCTTGGTAGTTGTATTGAGATAGTGTGGGGAGGGGAAAGGAAGAACGGAAACAGAAAGACCAGGCACGGGGCTGTTCAGCATCCAGGTGAGAGGTGACGGAGGCCTGCATCAAGATGGGAGTGGTAAACCAGGGAGAATGGTCGTATCCATTTAATAATAACCAGCTGATGGGATTCTGAGGTTAAATGGGACGCGTAGGGAACATGGGCTTGTAGGTTCTCCACAGGGGGTAGCTGCTGCTCTTATTATTGAGACTCTTGTTATAGGACAGTCTCTCTCTTTTTTTTAAAACAGGGTCTCGCTCTGTTGCCCAGGCTGGAGTGCAGTGGCATGATCATAGCTTGTTGCACCCTTGAACTCCTGGGCTCAAGAGATCCTCTGCCTCAACTTCTTAAGAAGCTGGGATACAGATATGTGCTACCCACCTAGTTAAATTTAAAAAAAAACATTATAGAGATGTGGCCTTGCTATATTGACCAGGCTGGTCTCGAACACCTGGACTCAAGCAATCCTCCTTTCTTGGCCTCCCAAAGTACTAGGATTATAAATGTGAGCTACTGTGCCTGGCTGAAGGACGGTCTTGAAGTAAAGGAAACAAATTGGGGATTTGCCCGTCCAGTCTGCAGCAGCAGTGTGGGGAATAGAACTCAGACATGCTGGCTTTAAACCATATAGAAGGCTTCCTGCCTTTCGCTTTAATGAAAATTCTAAATCACCGTGCAACCACAGCCTGGAAATGCTCAAAGAAATCGCGCACACGTCACAGAGCTCCTGACATCACAGCTTCTTTTTTTGGCCCCACCTTATACCATGTGAACTTTAACTGTAAAGTAGCGAGCTTGGTTTCCATGAGTCACATGTGTCCACAGGTAAGTTTTGTGGCTGTTTGGCCGATTATGTCAATTTCAGATTAGCTTTTATGGTTTTAGTTTCCCTGTATGTCCTCCCCTCACACTTTCTTCTCTGCAGGCAGAGTTGGTCTAACCCTGACCACCCTGGGGCTATGCTGGCTCTCCATTTCCTTACCAGGCATCTGTATTTCTGCCTTCTCCGGGGGCTGTCCTCCCATATGCACCATCTGTGCAATTTCAGCACTTATCACCCATCCTGAAGTGCTTAGTGATTGAGTAGTTGGAAAATATACAGTGGAGAGATCATTGTATTTTCATTTTTTATTGTTCTTAAAAGATACGGGATTTCTGTTGTGATTAAGTAAGGGATCAGTATAGGAAACAGCAACTCCTCTAGGCATTTTAAGCAGAAGGAGACAGAATTGAGTGCTCACAGAGTCACTGGCAGGGCTGGGCCCTCAGAGCAACTCCTAGAAGAGTGAAGATCTGGTCCTCTGGCAGGCCTGCCAACTCACAGGACATTAACTGGAGCTATAGGTTCTAGAACCCACTCTTTGCTGGTTCCAAAGTTCAGGAAGCCTGAATGGAGAAGGGTCTGCCACTACAGTGCCTCCTGGCACTCGAGAGTGGCCCTAGAATGTGGTTACAGAAAACCTACCCATTTTGTGCAGTCATTATGGAAAACCATATGGAGGTTCCTCAGAAAATTCAAAATAGAACTGCATTGTAATCCAGCAATCCCACCTCTGGGTATATATCCAAAGGAAATGAAATCACTGTCATGAAAAGATATCAGCACCCCACGTTTGTTGCAGCATTACTTAAAATAGCCAAGATGTGGAAATAACCTGTGTCCACTGAATAAAGAAAACCCCAATGGTATATTATTCATCCTTAATAAAGGAGAGCCTGCCATTTGCGAAAACATGGATGAACCTGCAAGACATTATGCTAAATGAATAACCAAACACAGAAAGATAACTACTGCATGATTCCACTTATACGTGGAATCTTAAAAAGTCAAACTCATAGAGTAGGAAGGTAGTTGCGGGGGCTGGGGGAGGGCGGTGGAAGCAATGGGAAGATGTTAGTCAAAGGGTATAAATTTTCAGTTATAAGATGAGTAAGTTCTGGAGATCCAGTGTGCAGCATGGTGACTGCAGTTAGTGTATTGTACTTGAAAATTGCAAGGAGAGTAGATCTTAAGTATTCTCACCACATACAAAAGTAACTGAGGTGATGAATGTGTTAATTAGCCCAATTGTGGTAATCATTTAGGAATGTATGCATATATAAAAACATGTTTACCTTAAATTTACACAATTTTACTTATTTTTATTTTTTGAGATGGAGTCTGTCACCCAGGCTGGAGTGCAGTGGCACAAGCTCAGCTCACTGCAGCCTCCACCTCCCGGGTTCAAGCTATTCTCCTGCTTCAGCCTCCTTAGTAGCTGGGATTACAGGCATGTGTTACCATGTCTGGCTAATTTTTGTATTGTTAGTAGAGACGGGGTTTCACCATGTTGGCCAGGCTGCTCTCGAACTCCTGACCTCAAGCGATCCGCCTGCCTTGGCCTCCCAAAATGCGGGGATGACAGGCATGAGCCACCACCCCCAGCCTAAATTTGTACAATTTTAATTTGTCAGTTATACCTCAATGAAGCTGGACAAAATGAAACAAAAGCCCACCTCCCATTCCATAGTTTGCTTGCCAGCCAAAAGCTGCCTAGAGAAGGCCTCTGCTTCACTTCCTCCTCCCTAATTTTGCACAGGTGACTTTAGTTGGTTCGCATCCTGATCTCTAGCTGCAAAGTGTGGAGCCTGAAAAATGTAGTGTTTAACTTTCTGTCCTCTCCAACTAGGAGGCAGATGAGGTAAGATTAAACAAGCCAGTCCCTAGTCCGCCTCACCTCGTGCTTGTCTGTGGTGAATACTGCAGGGGCCTCTCCTTCCAGGTGTGTTGGTATTGGCCAGTGTTGAGGATTCCATATGCAATATAAATAAGACTCTCTGCTAAACACTGAATCCAACTGTCAATATTTTCCAAGCTTATCTCCAGTACATTACTGTGTGCTTTGTAATAGGGTAACTTTTATTATCAGTCAACATTGTGATGACCACCTCTGATATCTGTAAAATAAACAAAGTGGGCTCCAATCACTGACAGGCAGATTTTGGTTTGTTTATATTTGAAGAAAATAATGAGTCTGTATTTCTATTGAATGCATAATTTTTTTATGGTTCATATCATTACATAAAAAGACTGGGCTAGTTGCATTATTTATGTAAAAATACATTCTCGATGTTGGATATGAACAGCAATTTTAGCATACTCTTCACTATAAAAATATGCAGGGGTGGATGTTAAGTATAGGTAAATAGCAAGGAAAGCACAAACCGGCATCAGCACTGGTTTTACCAGTCCGATTTCTCTGGAGTGCAGAATTACCCATTTGTTGCAGCTTTATGTTGAGCATGTTACTGTGAAAGTTAATCAGTTTCTTTAACCATTAGCTGATAAAGCAGCAGGGAATTAAGCTAGCCTAATTAGTTTGGGAACTAAATCAGACAGAACAAACAGAGCACGGGGTAGCAAATGGATGTTTGGTGGCCTCATTGGAAGAAATAGGTTACCTTTGATATTATGGTAATTCCATTCCTGAGAAGTGCCCTTTCCTGATAAAAACTGAAATTGGCAGATCAGTGTCTATTTGAAAATTGGGAGTTGGGATAAAATAAAGTAGCACATACACATCTAATCCTACTTTATACATACATACATATACTATAAAATGTATGTAGTAAATGCTCCAAAGATATCTGCTTCCAAAAGACTATATTCCTTGGTACTTCTATCAAATCATTTTATTTTATTATTCAGGAAACTTTCCTGTAGCTGTGTCCTAGACTGATCCAGCTGCCAGTTTTATATTATGCAGCCTACACTTCCCCGCCAAGTTTGATTATGAAAATGTTCATACATACAGCAAAGCTGACTTCTACAGTGAACACCTGTATACCTACCACCTGCATAAATTCTATATTAAACTTGCTTTATCACCTGGATACCACCTATATTCATTATTTATTGCTGTATAACAAATTACCCCAAACTTAGTACTTTATTTAAAACAATAAACGTTTAGTATTCCGCACTGTTTCTGTGCATCAGGAATCCAGGAGTGGCTGGCTGGTTCTGGCTCAAGGTCCTGTGTGAGGCTGCAGTCTAAGACATTGGCTAAGGCTGCAGTCTTCTGTGCTTTGATTGAGCCTGGACAATCTGCCTCCAAGAGGTCTCGCCCACTTGGCTGTTGGCTTGAACCTTAAAGGATAGCCCAGGGCAGGGACAAATGGGTGTTGACAGTAAGTGACCTGGAAGTGATGAGAGTTGGGGAAATCAGGGAATTCCCAGGAGGTGGAATTTGCCGTAGCGTCCCAGCCAGGGCACAGGTGCAGAAAGAGAAAGACAGCATGACTCAGAGATACACATGGAGGGCAAAAAGGATTTCTGACAGAAAAGATAGATTACACTGGGGAGGTGGCTTTAATGGCTCCTAAAGGGAGGATGCCTCAGCTACTGAGATTGAAATTGTTGGACATGGTCATCAACATTAGAAAAACAGCAGCACTGAGATTTATTTTCCTGGTTACCTATATTTTTTTCACATATTTAATGTGTTAAACTGAGGTTGAAATATTGTGAATGGCCCCCACTTTTTAAAGCTTTGCCTTACTGGGAGATTTTTTTTAAAAAATCTCATGGCACATCTTCCTAATTTTTAAATTCGTATTCCTGTTCCTGACCCCAGAATAGGGCCAAACTAGACAACAGATCTGTGGGAATGTTCGGCTCTCCATAAACCCCAAGGACTCCCCCAACACAGAGGTGCAGTACCCACCTGGGCCAAGGAGGGAAGGTACAGGTGAGGAGGGTGCTTCTAAAAGGTGTATGGAGCTGTTTGTTGAGGGCCATGAAGCTCTTGCACAGGGATGGGAGGAGACAACTCACCAGGGCTCTGGGTGGAGGCCAGCTGCCCTCCCTCTGGGCGACTGTGCACCCTCCCCACTCTCCCTGGGAGGCGGGCGCTTCCTTTGAAGTGCACCAGTGACCTGCCTCTCTCCTGGCTGCTTCCTGATGGCTTGCTTGCAGAAAGTGGGCTAGGGTCGGCTTGCCCAGAGGGGCCCATCCAGGTGAGGTTTGCCTTTTGGAACCAGCTAGGGAATGTCTTGGTGCTCCCTTGATTTGAAGGGGAGGACCATCCTTTATTGGCAAAGAACAGAGAGCAAACAATGAAAGGACCACAGTGGGCCAAGTCAATGACCCATGAATAAAGAATTCCAAGCTTTTAGTGCTGGAGAGCCTTCACTTAAAGATAAGAACGAAACATGAAGCCAAGGGACCGGACAACTAGTTCAAGGGCGGGCTAAGTAAGACGTGGAAGTCCTGGTTTTCTGTTACTAAGGGCTGCAGTTTATTTTATGCCTACTTTGTATGTGTTGGATTCTGTAGAGTGATACTTCACACAGTGCCAATTCATTATATTACACAGATAAAACAACATTGCCTTTATTTTTTTTTTCAAAATAATAAAGGTTATATGATACTTATGGCATTAGCACTTGCCAGGTTCTGTTCTCCATTCCTTACAGATAGAAATCCTCTTTAATCTTCTAACAGACCTATGAGGTGAATACCATTACTTTCCTCATTTTATGGATGAGGAAACTGAGGCCCAAAGAGGTCAAGTTAACTTCTCCCAAGTAATGTGGTGATGTCTAGATAGTGAGTGATAGCATTGGGATTTAAGCCAAGTATGCTGACTTCCCAATTCACATTCTTAACCACACTATACCTTAATCGCCTGTGCAAACATTAGCACTGTTTACTGGCTTTTCAAAGCTTTCTGTTTTCCAGGCATGTGATGGGCTTGTGTTTCCTGGCCTCCTTGTGTTTTTGGAGCCATGTGACTACTTCTAGCCATGTTGAGAGAAGTATGCTATATCAATTTTGGGCTGAGTCGCTCAGTCACCAGTGTGTGACACTCCAGATCCCTCTTGCCCTCTGCTGTGGAGACTGGCAAAGCTCCAGATGGTGGTTGCTGTGTCAGTCTGGGCAAGTTGGAGAGGAAACAGCCTCAGCCAGCCCTAAATGGATGTAGCATAAATGCAAAATCAACTTGTTATTTAGCTACTGAGATTTGGGGCTTGTTACCACAGCATAATTTAGCCTATCTTTAGTCACGTAATAATCTCTGATGTGCCTAACATTTTAAGGGGCACATTAGTAAATAGGTTGGGCACTTAAAAGTCTTTCCGAATAGTTTATTTTTTTTTAGCCTCATTGGGAAGCTTTCATGTTCTTCCTTATATACAGAAAGCACCTGGTACTGTGGCAATAGCATAGAGCAGAGCTTGAGATGCAAAGTTCTGGTTTTTGGTCCTTATTATTTTTGTTAATTCGACAGCTTTATTGATATATAGTTCACATACCATAAAATTTACTTAAAGTGTATAATTCTCTGGGTTTTGGTATATTCATAGAGTTGTGCAATAATTGTCACAATTAATTTTAGAAGACTTTCATCACCTTCAGAAGAAACCTGTACTTATTAACAGTGACTCCCATTTCCCCCCAATCTCCCTGGCCCTAGTCTACTACTGATATAATTTGTGTCTCTATGTATTTGCCTTTTCTGGACATTTTATATAAATAGAATCATATGAAATGTAAGTTCCACGAAGGATCTTTGCTTTGCTCTATGCTGTAACTCTGGCACCCCTCACAGTACCTGCACATAGTAGGTGCTCAGTGTTATATCTGTTGGGTAATTGAGTGGTTGCTGAAGGTTGGAGCGGAGAGCTAGATGGTGATGGCTGGTGTTGCTTAGCATTGCCCTGGACAGGTAATAAAGGGAGTGGTAGAATCACCTGCTGATATCTCCTCTTCATCCAGAGACTTCTGTGTCAGGGCTTATTATGAGGATACAATCATAGGCCCAGTGAAAGCAGCTGCCCTTGACATGGGGTTAGTCATCTATAAAACACCCCATTGCAAGGCTGAGGTCATGAAGGGGTACGAGTGGGCCCACCACAGCCCGATTCCTCTTCCTTCATAGACTCTTCCCAAATACTCACTTTTCTCAGGACCTCACTAGATTCCTTCTCCTCTCTGGTTCCTGGCTACCTGGCCAGAGCTATGGGTTGTAGCCATTTCTTAGAGGCACACCCTGAGGCATAGGGAGATTCCTGCTACTGCTCTGAGTAGTGTTGCAGCCATTCCTGGCTTTCTGGTCTGGATTTTCTACCCCTACCTGCAGACCCAAGCCTGGGTACCCTGTTTGCTTTAAGTACTCATCTTGCATTATTATTATTATTATTATTTTATTTTTACAAAAATTACTGACTTAGTTTTTGGATCAAAACAGTGGTAAAATGAACATAAAGCCAAAAGTGAGAACAGAACATTTTCATATCCTCCCCACACTTGAAAACATACTTCCTATCATCTGGGATTCAGGTGTTAGGGAGCCATAGCGCCTGCCAAATCCCTCTCTCTTCATCTTCCCTGGAAGCAAGGGGAGGAGGAAGTCAGAGACAATCTCAGTCCTTGTCTACCCATTCGTCCCTCAAAATCTCTGGGTTGGAGTGAAGCAGAGAAGAAATAAGGGACAAGGGGGGCTAGGGACTGACCTCCAGGGCCCACTGACAATAATGTCCCATATAGCTATCCTTGTCCGTATCTCATCCCTAATAGGTACCATTGTCAGGCCTTGGGAGAGAGAGGAAAAGGGGGTGGATGGTTCGAGAACCAAATGTGGTCTCCAGACTCCTTCCCAGAGTCAGCAAAAGCCCTGGGGTGACCACTCCAGGACTCTAGGAGCCACTCCTTTTCCCTCCAGTCCAACCAAGAGGTGAAAAGAAATTCCTTGGGACACAGCATCCCAAGCCACTCTTAAATCTCCACATCGCTTTCCTTGTCATTGTCATGGTCTCCATCACAGAACTCATTGGGTGCCTCTGGCCTGCTATAGTTCTCCTCAGGACCCCTGTCCTCCGCATTAGCCTCATCAGTCCTGTCATAGGTCAGGAGGTCTGCAGGCACGTCATGAATCTGGACACTAGGTGCATGGTTCAGCATCTTCAGGTTTTCAAAGATTGTCTGGCGGATCTGGTCCAGATACTGGCGTGAGTTCTGATTCTCGATGCGGGTGCTGACATCTGGATGAAGTGTGAAGTCTGGGGCAAAGTACTCGAAGTATTCACTATAGGGAAGCTCCTCACTAATGGCCTCTTCTACCAGCAGCGATGTCTCATATGTCCAGCAGCGGGCAACATTTCGGACAGTATAACCACCACCACCCAGCACCGGTAGAGGGATATTGAAGCTCTTGACATATTCCACACATTCCCCATGCCCTCGGATGCTGAGGTTAAAGCAGCCCAATCGATCACAGCCCAGAGCGTCAGCTCCACACTGGAGCACAATGCATGTGGGTTGGTAGAAGTCCACTACCTGGTTGATAACTGGCTGGAAAAGGTATTTGTAACTCTGGTCATCAATGCCATCCCGCAGGGGCACATTCAGACAGTAGTAGTGGCCACTCTCTGCCCCGACTTCATACATGTCACCTGTGCCAGGGAAGAAGTAATTTCCCTATTTGTGGAAGAACACCGTTATGACCTGGTCGGTGAGGTAGAAAGCTTCCTGAACCCCGTCACCATGGTGGATGTCAATATCAATGTAAAGCACCTGAGGGTGGTACCTCAAACTTCTTGGCATGGTGCAGACCACCAGCCCAGTTAATGGCAATATCACAGATCTTGTTGTTCAGCTGGGTTGCTCCTTGCAGAGATGTGCCCATGTAACGTAAGCAGAACTCAAAGAGCCCGGAAAACACTGAGGATCATCTTATAGAGACCGTAATGCAGGACCAGGCTATGGGTCAATGCCAGGTGATGGGGCCTCATAGGGTGTCCAGCTCCGTAGTGGAAGTTGTGCACGTCAGGGTCGTAGAAATAGGCCACGGTCTTGGCCATGGCGCTAGCGGGAGCAGGCCCCACGCCTCCACCACCTGCTGCCAGCCCCTCCAATCTTGCATTATTTAAGACTATAAGGAGGCAAAGTAGTTAGTGGTTAAAGGCATAGTCTGTGGGGTCAGGCACTCTGAAGCTTCAGGGTCAGATCTGGCATTTATTAGCTGTGAACCTCTGGGTGAGTTACTGAACCTTTTTTAGCCTTTATTTCTAATCTGTAGAATGGGCATATGAATAGTAATATGAATAGATTTGTAAGGGTTACATAGAATAATGCATATAAAGTGCTTAGTGCAGTGCCTGGCCCAGGAAAATGTTTGCTATGGCTTTTGATATAATCTAATTTGGTCCTGATATTGTTGATGTCACTATTCCCTAGGGAACAAAAGAACTACATTTTTTCTGTTTTAGGATTGCCTTAATGATTTGCTAAATGATTTTGTGGTAAATAACTGAATTCCCATGCTTGTCATCTTCTGAGAGGGAAGTCAAGGGAAATGAATAGAGAAATGTGGCCACAGCAGAGACCAAAGAACCTCAGAGTGTTTTTTTAATTTTTAAAAACATTAAATTTTTTTTTTTTTGTAGATGAAGTCTCACTCTGTTGCCCAGGCTGGTCTTGAACTCCTGGGCTTAGGCGATCCTCCCACCTCGGCCCCCCAAACTGCTGGGATTACAGACCTCAGCCTCACAGTTTGGTCTTAGGTATGGTCCTGATTGTGGGTTACCTTGACTGTTCTTTGAGTCCTGGAGAAGTCAAGATGAAAGCAGTTACAAGGTCATATGATAAGCCTGTATGGGCCATGTAGGTAGACTTCCATGCATAGATGGTATAGAAAAGTAAAAATGATCTTCTACTTTGACCATTGTTACTCCCAACATAAACTTACAGCAATAGTCTTAAATGCCAGTAAATTCTGTATTTGTAAAACATCCAGTAGAGAGGTTGGGTCTCCTAATGAACAAAGGAAAGTTTGCAGTGTTAAGTGTTATACAGATATGTCATCGCACTCTATTCTCTCCACTCCCACATGAACTACCATGGGACAAATCTAAGCCACCTCTTGGTTTTGGTCTCAGAACAAGTGTCATTCTCCAAGTTGCGGGGCAGAGTTCAGTCATGGGTTTTTGGGATCCCATGCTGTCGTTGGGAGCCAGCTGTGCAGCCTGGAGTGTGGGGCTGTGGCCAGGGTGGGTACAGGGAGCAGCATCTGTGTTTGCTGTTGGGGTGAACCTGTACTTTGACTGGAGGAGATATTTTCAGTGCTTTACCAGTGTTAGTGAAGCATATAATTGAATTTCCTGAAAGTGTCAGAAATGCCAGTAAGTTTAGCAAATGGCTGTGCAGCATGTTGCACATTAATATCAATTTTAATAAAAAATACTGATTGGGATAGATTTCATAGCTAATCTAGAAAAGGTAGTAATCCTGGTGGTCTGTCTTAGAAGAGTGAATGGTTTCCACTCAGAAAATTCAGATCTGGGGGCTCATAGTTCATAGCTGTTTTTTTCTTTTCTATTTCTCTCCTCTCTCTCTCCCTCCCTCCCTCCCTTTCTTCCTTCCTTCCACCCTCCCTCCCTCCCTCTCTTTCTCTCTCTCTCTCTTTTCTTTCTTCTCTTTCGTTTCTTTCTTTTCTTTCCTTTCCTTTCTCTTTTGTTCTTTCCTTTCTTTCTTTCCTCCGTTGCCCAGGCTGCAGTGCAGTGGTGGGATCATTGCTCACTGCAGCCTTTAATTCCTGGGCTCAAGGGATCCTCCTGCCTCGTCTCCTCAGTAGCTGGGACTATAGGCATGTGCGACCATGCCTGGCTAAATTTTAAAAAATATTTTTTAGAGACAGAGTCTCACTATGTTGCCCAGGCTGGTCTCAAGCTCCTCAGTTTCCTGAGTAGCTGGGATTACAGGTATGAACCACTGTTCATGGCTGTCATGGCTGTTTTTTCTTTTTAATTTTCAATTAAAATATATACCAAATGAAAAGTGCACAAACCGTAAACATACAGATTGATGAATTTTCACAAAGGGAATGCACTCACATAACTACCACCCAAATCAGGAAGTTGAATACTGCCAAATTTCCAGTATCCCCCCTCCCAATCCCTACCTGCTTTCCCCTCCAAATCACTCTCTTGACTTATAATGCAATCGATGACTTCTGCCTGTTTCTGAATTCTATATAAGGAGAATCATATAGCGTATCCTTTTTGTATCTGGCCTCTTTTGCTTAGCAGGATATTTGCAAGATTTATCCACATGGGTATGAATAGTAATAGTTTATTGATTTATATTCTTATATAGTATGAATATATATCACGGTTTATCCCTTCTATTCATGGACGTTTTGGTTGTTTTACAGTTTTAAAAAATTATTTATATTTTAAATTTCATTTTCAACTTTGTATACTGTTAAATTACCAAACAATAAACTACTTAAGAACATAACCTAAATATTTTGGTTAACTACATTCTGGAGCGGAAAGGCATTAGTGTTAGTCTTAGGTGGCAATGAGCTTCACAGAGACACACAGAGAAAGCAAAGTGAAGAACAAGGCAGTCTCTCCCTATTTATGGCATGGCAAAGCAATTCAGAATGCATTCGCTATTTCTATAGATAAATTTTCTAAAGTATAATGTGGGAAAATTTAATATTCCAATTTGTGAAAACAAGAATTATCAGACTGTCACATTTCAATGACTTAAGTAGCCAAACCATACATCAAGCTTGTCTAACCCATGGCTGGTGGCCACCATATGGCCCAGGATGGCTTTGCATGTGGCCCAACACAAAGTTGTTAACTTTCTTAAAACATTATGAAGGGCCGGGCGCGGTGGCTTACGCCTGTAATCCCTACACTTTGGGAGGCCGAGGTGGGTGGATCACCTGAAGTCAGGAGTTTGGAACTGCCCCAGCCAACATGGTGAAACCCCGTCTCTACCAAAAATACAAAAAGTTATCCAGGCATGGTGGCATGCACCTGTAATCCCAGCTACTCAGGAGGCTGAGGCAGGAGAATCGCTTGAACCTGGGAGGCAGAGGTTGCAGTGAGCTGTATGGTTTACATATAACACTAAACATCCGAGACAAGCAAAACAAAAAATCTGTTTGAAGACCAAAGACCCAAGTCCTTGCAAGAACCTAAGTATTCAGATCACGAAGGAAAGGGTGGTACAAAGACGTGAGCCAAATGTTTGGGACATGTTTTCCTTTGTGATTGCTGATATCAAGCAGCTATGTTTAGGGAACACAAGGTAGAAAAACTGGGTAAATAAACACTCCAGACTTCGGTGGAGACTCTGAAAAGGGTTAATCATCCGTAGCAATAAGGACATACTGGAAAGACAATGCTTCATAAAGACTGATGCCCAGCTCAGAATCAATCAAATGAAAGAAAAACCAGAGAGATTTGTAGTTCAATGTATCACAATTAAGGTCTGATGTCCAGAAGACATAAGGAATGTGTTAAAATCAATAAGAAAAAGATAATCTAATAGGAAAATGCTCCAGAGTTTGAAAAGGTAATTTCACCAAACGGGTTATCAAGACAGCCAGTAAGCATACGGAAAGGTGCTCAACTTCAAAGTCATCAAGGAAATAGGAAGTAAAACCACTATGCCAGACAAGGGCTAAAATTTTAAAAGACTAAGAGAAACACCATGGTTGACACAGATCTGGCAATGCTAACTTTTTAAACACCTGTGCCTGGGATGTAAACTGGTATAAGCACTTTAGAAAACTGTTTATTAGTGCCAAACATTATGTATCCCATGCCCAAACAATTCCAATTCTAGGTATATAATCAACAGAAATAACACATGTATACCAAAGGACATATGGGGAATGTTCATTGCAGCATTACTCATAATAATGAACTATAAATTATTGGTAATCACCACTAATCATAGAAATGAAGAGAACTATTTCCACAAAATACATTATGACAGTCTTTTGAGGATATCTTATGCACAACAATTGTAATTCTATTTATGGCAGGTGTGTCCAATCTTCCCTGGGCACATTGGAGGAAGCAGAATTGTCTTGGGCCACATATAAAATAACACTAACACTAACAAATAGCTGATGGACTTAAAAACAAACAAAAACAAAACTCCAAAAAATCTTTTTTTTTTTTTTTTTTTTTTTGAGATGGAGTGTTGCTCTGTCACCCAAACCGGAGTGGCAGTGCACAATCAT